TGGTGATTGGCCCAAAGTCACCCAGTTGGCTTTCCTGCCTAAGGCGGGACTAGAACTCACCGTCTCCTAGTGATGGGCCCAAAGTTACCCAGCTGGCTTTCATACCTAAGGTGGGACTAGAACTCCCTGTCTCTTGGTGATTGGCCCAAAGTCACCCAGCCGGCTTTCATATCTGAAGCGGGACTAGAACTCCCCGTCTCCCAGTTTCTAGCACGGCGCCTTAACTACTAGATCAAATTGTCCATTTTTCCAAATGGAGGCCCGACAGGTGCCGAACCCCTGAACCGGATCGCCGAGGACCGCTCGGTGCTGGAGGCCAGTTCCCCAGGCTTCAATTCTTCATTCCCGTGGGGCTCAGATCCATCCTCTGTAAAGCGCGTGACTTTCTAGGACTTAATGAACGCAGGTGAACATAGATGGACTTTCTAGGACTTCGATTGCTGGTTGCATTTCACGAGCTCTTTGTTCGGCAGGAAAGTGCAGGAGGTGCCCCTCCTGCCATCTTTGGATTATGAGAAGTTAAAGAAAGACCTGATCGACGGAAGTGACCGCCTCAAGGCTTTCTTGCTACAGGCCTTGCGCTGGGTAAGTCTCACTGTCCATCAAAGATGGCTGAGGAATTCTGGGAGTTGAAGTCCGGTAGTCTTAAAAGTTGCCGAGATTGGACACCCCCTCCCCGCTGTAGAGAATTGAGAAACCAAGTCAGTGGAAAGGACCCTGTGGTTAGACACTTCTACAAAATAGTCCTCAAATTAACAGATTAACAGAGTTGGAAGGGACCTTGTAGGTCATCTAGTCCAACCCTCCCCACCCAAGCAGGAGACCCTACACCATTTCTGACCGATGGCAGCCCAGTCTCTTCTTGAAAGCTTCCAGGGATGAATCTTCCACAAAGAATAGCGGGTGGGGAACAGAAAACCGGACCGAAAGTTGTATCCTTCTGCTCAAATGCCAAGTCTGCTGGTTTATTTAATTGCTCATTCTTCTATTGGTTTGCTTCATTTCTTCAGCCACCCAACTCAGTCAGTGACTCTGGATGGCTTGCAGTTCAGAAAGAAAAAATGTATTGCAATTCAATGTAATGAAAACACTTTTTAAAACAAAAACAAGCGCTAAAAACACCCAGATTAAATATACATAGGAGTATAGGAAATGTAAACCGCTCCAGACTCGATTGTAAATGGCACCAAAACTTGATTGCAGAAAATAGGACTTCAGCAACAGAGCGGTCAACTCACTACTTGACTCTGTTATCACATCCTCAAACCCCCAAAACTTTAACCTCGAGCTGTCTATCGTGGACCTCACTCTATTCCTAAGAGGTCTGTAAGGGGGCTTGCATAAGCGCACCAGCGTGCCCACCGTCCCTGTCCTACTGTTGCCATTTTCTTGTACTCATTTATTAGGTATATACGTATACCTGTTTATACTTACATGTTTATATGTTACGTTCATGCTTACACTTGTTTTCTCATTCTTGACAAACTAAACTAAATAAATAAAATAAATAAGTAAGCATAAGAGCCCCAGCGGCGCAGCGGTTAGAGTGCAGTACTGCAGGCCACTTCTGCTGCATGTCAGCAGTTCGATCCTGACAGGCTCAAGATTGACTCAGCTTTCTGTCTTTCCGAGGTGGATAAAATGAGGACCCAGATGGTTGAAGGCAAGAGGCTGACTCTGTAAACCTCTTAGAGGGGGACTGGAAAGCATGGTGAAGCGGTATCGAAGTCCCAGGGCTATTGCTATAAGCTGCTTGGCCAGTTACCAAACAAAGCTCAAAAGAGTTCAAAAGCAGCGTAAAAATTCAGAACGCAATTAGCTCTGGCTGACCGTTGGTTAAGCTGCAAGTGCATTGGTTGACTTGATTGCAATGGTTACGGTTGATTTTGTTCTGCCCAAGTCGTCCTGAGACCGTAATGAAGCACACGCTTCGTCCAAACAACTCTTGTTTTATTTCAGTGCTGGGAATTATGTGCCTTCCCAGCCTGTAATGAGTCCCAAATAGTTCCTCGAGATAAGCACCCACCTTTCTCTCCTTTGAATCGCTGCCAACAACTAAAGTGCCAAATGAGCTGTAAAAAGCCAACCGAAGTACAAAGTCCACACAGAGCTTCAAGGATGAATCTGAACTGAATGAACGACCTTGCTTCCTGCAAAGGTTTCTCTATCTTTGCCTGTCCTTTATCTCTTATGGGAGGGGCAATCACCTCCAAGCCTTATTCCCGAGTTCGCCCCTTTTGTTTCAGCTGCTCTCATCTTCTAGCAGCTCTGTGCACACGTGCTTTGGGGAACAGGCTCCCCTGGTTTCTCTGCCTCACTGCTGCCAGACTCCAGAGGCTCCGGAGTCAGCACCCCACTCCCAGATGGTCCTGGCCCCATCCCTTCATTGGATGCAGGACCTTCATCCAAATCCTGTCCACACTCCCAGACTGGCCCCCGTTCTTCCCCACTGTCCCGATTCCGCTGCCGTCTGTGCAGGCTGCTGGCGAATCACAACAGATTTTAAGGGATTGCCTTGTTTCTTTCGTCCTGTTTTGCAGCGTTTGACAACTTCCCATCCGGGGGAGCAGAGGGACACCGTTCTGCAGGCCTACATCAACAATGACCTGTTGGACTGCTACAGTAACGGCCAGGTTAGCGGGGGGGGGTAGGGGGTGGAAATTGCTACCCTAGATCGGAGACCGAAGGCCACTTTAGGAGCCTTGATCTGCAACTCTTGACTTGTTAAAAATCCCCCGACTCCCCGGCGTGATCAGGCAAAATAGCCGACAGGGAGCCCTTGATTTAACAACGTCTCCTTTAGGGACCGTGGGGAGATAACGACGGCACAGAGAAAAGTGACCGTCAGGTCTGTTCTCTCACACGGAACGACCGCTGCCACGTCTCCATGATCCCAGGATTAAAATCCAGATGCTTGGCAACTGGCGTGCGTTTATGACGGGCCGCGATATCCCCGGGGTCTTTTGCAACCTTCTGACCACCCAAATTAATAGGGAAGACGGATCCACGTAACAACTGTGTGACACACCGTTTCGTGGGGGAACAGTGGTGAGAATGCAGCGTTGCAGGCTAATTTTGTGGACTGCCAAGAGTTCAATTCTGACCGGCTCAAGGTTGACTCAGCCTTCTGTCCTTCCGAGGTCGGTAAAATGAGGACCCAGATTGTTGTGGGCAAGAGGCTGATTCTGTAAACTGCTTGGAAAGGACTGTAAAGCACTGGGAAGTGGTGTATAAGTCTAAGTGCTATTGCTATTGCTCTCCTCCTTCCTTCCTTCCTTCCTTCCTTCCTTCCTTCCTTCCTTCCTTCCTTCCTTCCTTCCTTCCTTCCCTCCCTCCCTCCCTCCCTCCCTCCCCTTCCTTATGCATCCATCCATGCTAGCTCAAGGTTGACTCAGCCTTCCGTCCTTCTGAGGTGGGTAAAATGAGGACCCAGATTGTTGGGGGCAAGAGGCTGACCCTGTAAAGCACTTAGAGAGGGCTGGAAAGCACCGTGAAACAGTATAGAAGTGCTATTGCTATTCCTTCCTTCCTTCCTTCCTTCCTTCCTTCCTTCCTCCCTCCCTCCCTCCCTCCCTCCCTCCCTCCCTCCCGTCTGTGGTTAGAATGCAATATTGCAGGCTAAATCTGCCTACTGCCAGCAGTTTAATCCTGACCTGCTCAAGGTTGACTCTGCCTTCCGTCCTTCTGAGGTCGGTAAAATGAGGAGCCAGATTGTTGGGGGCAAGAGGCTTGCTCTTTAAACCTCTTAGAGCAGGCTGTAAAGCACTATGAAGCGGTATATAAGACTCATGTACCGCTATTGCCCTTCCTTCCTTCTTTCCTTTCCTTTCCTTTCCTTTCCTTTCCTTTCCTTTCCTTTCCTTTCCTTTCCTTTCCTTCCTTCCTTCCTTCCTTCCTTCCTTCCATCCATCCGTCCATCCATGGTGGAAATGCTATTGCTAAAAACCCAGCTGGTCTCATTTCCCCTGCTAAATCTTGCCCATGGTTATTAAGCACATCGATGGTCATTACATGGACAGTGTGATCATAAAGTGAATCCATTGTCATTAAGTAGACACAGTGGTCGTTAAGCCAATCCATTGTCTGCAATGGACATGTTTTGCCGGAAAGTGGCCGTGAAACAGTGTGGAGCAGTATATAAGTCTGTGCGCTGCTGCTTTTGTTGTTATTTCACATCAAGTATTCCAGGATTAACTGCAACTTTGGGGTTCTCTTGCAGAGAAGCGTCTTGATGCTGATCCAGTCCAAGTGTGAGGTGGTTCGCCAGTACACCGCCAGGCTCATCAATACGTTTGCCTCCCTGGCTGAAGGTAAGAGGTGGAGCATAAAAGTAGCTACTTCACCTGGGAAAATTCTCCCGGTGCTCATTCAAATCTCTTGCCGGCCATTCAAATCAACCCAACTGGTCCTTTTCGCTCAATGGTACCAGCACACGGTCAGGGTTCCAACGGATGCCCTAATTCAGTGGTGGCTAACCCTTTTGAGCTCCCATGCCAAAAATCGCACGCGCGCTCGTGCCAGCACCCAAAAGCCAATGCGCATGTGTGCACAACACCACCACCACCACCACACCGCCTTACCTGCAGTGCACATGTGCGCGCCTCCCAGCTGGTATTTCCGGAAATACCAGAAGCGACAAAACAGGCCTGTTTTTCGGCCTCCAAAGGCTGCAGAGGCTTCCCTCAAGCCCCTGGGAGGGCAAAAATGGCCTCAAACGAGCCGAAAATCAGCGGAGAAGCACGCATATGCTCCGTGCTGGGGCTTGCGTGCCCGCACAAATGGTTCCATGTGCCATCACAGCCCTAATTAATTCATGAGCCTTGAACCCAGTTTCAAAACAAATCCAATTATTTATTAGGAGCAACAAGTCGGCACTTTTCCCCAAGTGCAGTCAGCTCTGCCCTAGGTAATTTACTGCCCACTTATGACCCTGTTTTCCCCCTCCTCCTAAGGTGTGTCATAAATCAGGGGTCCCCAACCACCAGTCCCTGGACCGGGACCGGTCCGTGAATCATTTTTTACTGGGACGCAAAGCTTGAGCGCCGCCATCTTGTTTCGACGGCGCTTCCGGGTTTTCGGTTGCTTCCAGGTTTTCGGTTGGAAAGTGCTTCCGGGTTTTCAGTTGGAAAGCGGCGTTTGGGTGCTCGTGCCTTAGTTTCGTCGAGGGGGAGGGCGGCTTCGAACGAAGAGCCATCCCGATGGCGGTGGAGTCTCGCGTTACTCAGGTACCGGTCCGTGGAAGAATAAATAATTGTGAAACCGGTCCCTGGTTCAAAAAAGGTTGGGGGCCACTGTCATAAATCACATTCTCCCACAGAGCACTTTTCCGTAACCTGGGACATAATCTGTAGAAAGGTACGCGTGGAATATGCTTCTGGTCATAGCAACTGAACTGGTCCATCAGATATCCCCTGCCCCTTCTTACGGCAACTCAAAAGAGCAAGGCAGGAATGCTTTACGAGTTGACACACGTGAAGCTAAAAAGTAGGAATAGGTCCCAAAGAGAAGTCCGTGTTTCGAACCCGCAACAAACACAGTGTTTTTCAGGAGTTCAGCAACGAACAACGGCGGTGAGAAAAAAGGGACCTTTGACTGTTTTTCACGTTTTCCACCGCTGTGACCTCCTTGTGGTCACGGGATCAAAATTGGGCGCTTTGGCAACCGACTCCTATTTAGGATGGTGACAGTTCTCCCAGGGTCGTGGGATCACCTTTTGCGACCCTTGTGCCGTAGGAGATGACCAAGCTGAGCCCGAGGGAGAGATCAAACCCATCCTAACTCACGAGTCCCTGCAGCCTTACAAGGAATCTAAGTCCAGCCCACGTTGAATGACGTTCTTAACTGTGCTTCTAATTTTCCTCGACTGTCAGTTGGTCAGATTCTTGTAGAGAGCTTAAACTTGCCATAAATCTTTATACTCCTTGGTATATGGAATTGGGTATGTCTAGTTCAGTGATGGCTAACCTTTTCAGCTTGATGTGTCGAAAATCGGGAAAAAGTGTAGCCTTCCTCGGGTCGTGTGTCACTTCAAGAAATATCAACAATTTGGTTTATGACGGACTGGGCTGGGGGGATCACACAGGGCTGTGAAACTCGTCCCCCTGGTCTCAGGGCTGCAGGTGCAGGATGTGGGGATCGGAAGGCCACCTTACAGGGCTGTGAACCTCATGGATCTCCTTTCCTCCTGTAGCGTTCCTGAGGTAATGAAACTGACCAACCTCAGTTCATGGCGGTTAAAACTGGTTCTCTGCTGCAAAGATCTCGCGGCAGCGGTGACACCACGCCTCCACGCAACAAGCAGGGAGCAGGGATTGGAGCCGAGCACAGGCAGCCTCTAAATGTGCAGGTTTTCCCCACACCGACAGGCGTGTCAGTCAAAGTGCCTCGGCGTGTCACGAGTGACACGCGTGTCATAGGTTAGCCATCACTGGTCTCGTTTAATGAAAAGAAGAACAAGGGGGACACAATAGCAGTCTTCCGGTATTGGAGGGGCTGCCCCAAAGAAGAGGAAGGGGTCAAGCTATTCTCCAAAGCCCCTGAAGGCAGGACGAGAAGCAAAATTTGGAAACTAACCAAGGAGGGAAGCAACCTAGAACTAAGGAGAAACATCCTAACAGGGAGAACAATTAATCAGTCAAACTGATTGCCACAACAAGTTGTGAATGTTTCTATACTGGAAGTTTTTAAGAAGGGATTGGACTATCATTTGTCTGGAATGATGTAGGGTTTCCTGCCTGAGAAGAGGGTTGGTCTAGAAAACCTCCTGCACCTGCTAAATGCTATGCAAAAAGACTCCAATGAGGGAACTTTTAGAACTTAGAATAACTTTATTGTCACTTTTTTTACTGTTTCCTAGTATGATTTGATTGCTTATTTGCACCCTATGACTATCATTAAGTGTTGTACTTGATGATTCTTGACTCTCTTGACTCTTGACGAATGTAGCTTTTCTTTTTATGTACACTGAGAGCATTTGCACCAAGACAAATTCTTTGTGTGTCTAATCACACTTGGCCAGTAAAGCATTCATTCATTCATTCATTCATTCATTCATTCATTCACTTTACACATACACTAATTGTCATTGCATCCAGCTCTCAAAGGGTCACCACCTCTAATATATACTACATAAACACGACTAAATAAATATATAAATAAATACAAAGTTATGCATATACCCACATATATTATATGACACAAACATGACTAAATAAATAAAATATAGAAAGAGAGAGATACTGATATAGAGGTAGATACAGATGATAGATAGATAATAGAGATAGCTAGATAGAGATATCTAGGTAGCGATAGATAGATAGATAGATAGATAGATAGATAGATAGATAGATAGATAGATGGATGGATGGATGGATGGATGGATGGATGGATGGATGGATGATAGATACGATAGATAGATAGATAGATAGATAGATAGATAGATAGATAGATAGATAGATCGATCTCTTAGATAGTCTAGACAGATAGATAGACATACAGATAGATGAGACAGAGAGATAGAGATAGGTAGATAGATAGATTTGGATTTAGAATTTGGATAGATTTAGAATTGGTAGATAGAATAACTTTATTGTCACTTTAAATGTGCACTAATCGACATACATTAAAATTAAAATTTGTTGCATCCAGCTCTCAGAGGGTCACCTCCTCCAATATAAACACGACCAAGATAAATAAATACAGCATTATGCCTGTGCCCATGTATGTTATATGACGCAGAGAAACAACACAGCCTTGTTCGGTTGTATGCATGTACACGGCGAGGGAGGGAGGGAAAACCAGGCAGAATTTGGGAAGGCAACTTCCAAGCGCTTTTTGAGGTCTTGCGGGCTCCGTTGCTCTTCTCTCCGTTGCTCTTTTTCTTTCTCCCAGGCCGGCTCTACCTTTCCCAGAATCCCCGGTTGCTCCGCATGCTGGAAGGAAGGCTGAAGGCAGAAGATAAGTTCTCCCTTACCCGGGAGAACGTCCTGGGAGCTCTGCAGAAACTCAGCCTCAGGTGAGGAATGGTGGGCAGGTGCAGGGGTGGGATTGTACCTGGTCGGACCGGTTCTATAGAACCGGTTGTTACGATTCTGCCCAGTTCGGAGAACCGGCAAATCGTGCCACTGGCTGGCCCTGCCC